TGAAATACACTGCCTTTTGACAATTTTGTTTTTCAAAAGAACAAAACTAAGCAAAATATTATTTCAAAATTGTTTTTTTTTCTAAATCAAATGAATGAGCAGAAGAGAAAAATATGGTATGTAAAAAATAGGTTACATTTTATTTTAAGCAGTGTTGAGGAAAGTTACTTTTGTTAGTGGTACATTAGAATATTAAGTTACTCACCCCAAAAAGTAACTAATTGTGTTACTAAGTACTAACCTTTTGACGAAAGTAATGTTATATTACTTTTGAGTTACTTTTGCATCACTTTTCCTGGCTGAGATTTTAATTTTCCTTAAAAAAAAAATGCAGGATACAATTATTTTGAGAACTTTCTGAGCCCAGAGTTATACATGCTGTATAAACAGTTTAGTGAAAGCATAATCAGTGATGTGTCTGCTACTTTTGTATGTTTTGTGTTATTAGTTAAGTAAATTCACTGTCCATTGAGATAAAGATTGCAATAAAGCCTGAGTACTAACATAAAATTATTTATATTAAGGCAAAAATAGATTTTAAACCTTTAAAATGTTTAATAACAAAATGAACAGTAAGATAATAAAACATCCCCAAACCAAAATAAACCTTTGATCTTTATACACTGAATAAATCACTACACGTGGCCTTAACAAATGTGTGAAACGTTCTATAAAACGCAGTAGCTTTTTCAGTAACGCTAGACAGTGGCTGCATCTCCTCAACAATGAAAGCAATAACCATTTTTTTAGCTTAAAATTCATTTAGAATTTTTAGTTTCGAATTAACTTTTTTTACCAGGAAAACGTGAACTGATGTCAATCATTTGTTTATCTTGAGGTGGGGTGGGGGTGTAGTGCTTTGCAACCAGTTTGGTTCTTGCTTCTTTTCTTCGATAAGTTCAAAATAACAAGAATCAATAGCAAATATGTACGTCTCCACCCTGCAATTGTTTCTGTTTCTGACTATCTGTAATGATGACAGGCTATTCGGGAATGAAGCATTTGTTTTAACTAGATGTTCTAATTGAAATGGTCAAACCAGTTCATTGAATTGAACGGAGTTGTCGTGAAATGTTTGCGTCTTCAGTAAGTACTAACATATCGGGTACTACGGTGGCCAGGAAGTGCAAAACAACATTACAAAGTGTGAAACACTTTTACAAAGCTAGAGACAAATTTACATTTTGAAAAACATTTTTACCTATCATCAGACACAATAGCATAGGAAAAACAATTTTACCAAGGACAAAACAAATTTACATTTTACAAAAAAATAAAAAATTAATAAGACGCAATACACTTTTACAAGTCCCAAAACAAATTGACAATTACAGATTCCTTATAGAAAGGGAATGTACCACACACCGGGAGTGACCCAGAATGTAACACACACCGGGAGTGACCCAGAATGTAACACACACACTGGAAAATATCAATAATATCCAGCTTGTGTGTGACTTTGTTGACAGATTTCCACAAGTCTACAACTATAAAAATCATGGTTTGACCAACTGCAATAAAACATAGAGCTATTCTGAGAAAATATCAGAGTGAGAGTGCGTAGAAACATGTAAACGCAAGTACATGGGAACAATCAAAGCGTGGCATATGTTGACTGATAAAGATATCAAAACTGACCCCAACCTGTGAATCCGAGTAGCTCAGCTAGATAGGTTGGTTGATACTCATGCAGAACCTTTTGACTTGGGTTCGAATCCCATAGATGACATGTCAATTATAATTATTTCTTTACATTAATTTTGGTTTATACTGTTCTGCCACACAAACATTAAATCAATAATACCCCCCTCTGTCTCAAAATAAACCAATATCCTGAGTTATTTAGGTACTAGAACAGTACACTGACTCATCTGCTGTGAAAAAAAGGGAAAAATAATCTTCAAGTGGCGTAAGCAAAATAATCTCGTCAATAAGAAAAACAAGATTATTTTGCTAACCCCACTGGAATTTTCCCCCATTTGCAGATTATTTAGCTTGTTTTAAGAAAAGAAACAACTTAATTTTGACACATTAATTCTTAAAGCAAGATAGTAGTTTTGCTTGTCTAGAAAATGTTTCTCGATTTAAGAATTTTTAGGTATTTGGTCAAGACTCAAGACTCATCAGACTAAATAAAGAAAAAAAAAAGCTTTTTTATTAGTAGTATTGAATAGTTACAGTTTAACTATTAATTTGCATACTGAGTAATATGTATCAATTATTTGTGCTTACTGTATGACTATAGGGTTAAAATGCAGGTCAGTTTTAATGTTAGCTGCATGTAATTAATGTTAATTACAATAGTAAATGCATGAAACCCGCATAAAGGACGAAAAAAAAACTACTGTAAAGTGTTAGCTAATTTTAAACACAAAAGTAGATACATCAGAAGTAAAACTGGATAACTATTCTTTTATGCAGTTCAAAATTGATTTTTTCCCCCTCTATAAAAGAGGATAATTTTATTTTTGTGCACTTTGATCTTCCCAAACAGACTCATTACACATTGCATGAAAGGTAATATTCGAAAAAGAATAACAGGAGGAGCAATTTAACAAACTCCAGCTATTGCACAAAAAAATCCATTGATTAACTGGACAAATAAAATCACTGTATCCCAAACAACAACGTGTCACATTGGCAGAGAGAAGTCACTAAAACAAATTAATTTCCAAGTAAAATTCATAGGCTTTTGAAAATGTAGAAAACACTGTGAGAGAGGGAATCGACCTTTAAATCTGTGAATAAGCTGTCTACACAAGCGAAACGAGGATGACACAAATCAAGCTGCATTCAAGCGGCAGCCCCGGATCTGAAACTACTTTGAAAAATATTATGGCAAGAGCCTCATCAGCCTCCCAGACATGCAGGAAACCTTTGACTAAGATCTTTTCAGCTCTAATTGAACTGCTGTTTTGGTGGCTCCTGTGGCTCGTCTGCATTAGCGCCTCTACCTGGGAGTTTGATGAGAAGCGCTGATGAAGACGGGACCGTCATATGCGGATGAATGCAAGCCAGTGGATTGGCTGGTAATGAGGGGTGTAACGGAAGGGGTAAGTTCTCTTTCGGGACTGGTGCTCGCGGAGGCCAGAGCTGGTCAGCGAAGTGCTCGCCAATGTGACTCTTCAGGTGGGGTGGTGGAAATCATTTACGCAGGCACACGCCGATCACGCTGGGCTCTTAATTGCTGGAGATGGGGGCAAGATAGATCCGGAATACATTATGTCGCGCCCACAGAGCGTGATTAATGGGCTGGTGGGATTTTCACACCGCTGGCTGAACTCCAGCCGAGATGGTGTGGACGGTGATCAGGAGGTGGAGGTGTGTGTGGTCTGCAGAAACACTACTGACTTCACTTAGCAGACTATTTAGGGGTAGACAATTATAGCAGTATTACAGAGGTGGACAAACAAACAAACAAACAAACAAACAAACATATCTATCTATCTATCTATCTATCTATCTATCTATCTATCTATCTATCTATCTATCTATCTATCTATCTATCTATCTATCTATCTATCTATCTATCTATCTATCATCTATCTATCTATCTATCTATCTATCTATCTATCTATCTATCTATCTATCTATCTATCAATCAATCATCTAAAACATGACCTTTTTAATGCATAATACAGGCACTTTAAGGGCCGCTATGCTCTAGTTTTCATTTTAACATTTGACTTACAACAACTTCAGAGAGAGTATCTCAAGTAATTTTTCACACCTCTATATTTTTAAAAAATGGTTAGTTTGAGAACACATTCAGCAGGATAATAGTAACTGATTTCTTCAAGTTCAAGGTAAAATGATCTGAGCATAATCCCATGTTTACTCTTCTTATGTCATGGAACAACAAATGTGAGATGTGTGAGTATCTGCCATAGACAAAACTGTGGCTCTCGCTGATAGTGTTCTACTTCAAGCAGGGCTATGCATGAGATTTCAAATGCATCTGAATTGCTCCCACAAGGCAGATGTTATACTCTGATCAGACTGAGCAAACAACCCCATTACACCCCCTTCGTGTCTCCAAAGGGAATGGAAAAGATATATAATTTCACTTTTATTTACTACTAAAGACCTAATTCTTTCATTCATTTATTCATCCCAAGTAACTTATCTTCCTATGTGAAAGGCAAAAGCATATTTTGAAAGATCTAGTTGTTTTCATTTGTGCGTATAAGAAAATTGTATTATTATATGCACACAAATAGGTCCTGTAAATAAAGTCAAAAACAGATACAGAAATGTGAAATGCCTCACATTTAGGTTACATGCTTCTTCAATGTTCCATTGTTTTATTAGAGTCCAATTAAAGTCAACAAAACCTAAATCAATAACACTGAATCCTAAACAGCAGTTTTCACAAAGTGATCTAAAGGAGCAATTAATCTTGTTAAACCAGGGATCAAGGAACAATTCAATGAATCACTGACACATTTGCATGCTTTTTGATTTGTGATGATGGATGCTGTAATGAGCTGCAGATCCACTGACTTGAAAGTTTGAACATCAGCAAAACGAAAAAAAATAAAAAAATAAATAAAATAAATAAATAAATAAATAATAATAATAATTAAAAAATCCAGAACTCCCTTAATTATAATGCAGATAAAAAACATAATAACTCCATCTTGTCAATTGGAGACAAATTCTGCAATATTAGACGCATCCCTGACATCAGCAACAAAATCGACTTTTGCAAAAAAAAAAAAATAAATAAATAAAATAAAACAAAAAACACACACACACACACACACACACACACACACACACACACACACACACACACACATATATATATATATATATATATATATATATATATATATATATATATATATATATATATATATATATATATTTTTTTTTTTTTTTTCTTATAAATAAAATATATTTTTATATAAAATAAAAATAAAAAATTCTTATAGACACTGTGAATGATGCTCATTTATAACCAGCTTGTGTTTGTGCATGAAACTGCTGGGACTCACCGATGGAGCTGGTTTTCCTCCTTTGGCAGTGCAGATCAGAGTGAGGTTTTGGGCCTGATATCGACTAAACGGCGCTGGAGTGTTTTCTGCCAGCACTGAGATATTGTTTGGTGGAGCTGTTGGAGAGAAAAATACATCCATTAGACCTTTTGAAGAAATCTTTTCTTTCTCAAATAAATTTAATCATGAACCTTAAATATTTCATCACAATTTGTTAACCCTTACATTGTTTCAAACATTTTGATTGTTTGAGATTTACATTTTTTTTAAACCTTTTCTATTTAAAACTGCGAAAATGTTCTATTCTGTTTGAGAAAATAAAACCGTTTCCATATTGATAAACACATGATGATTCTATTTTACCATGCTTTTCTTGCATCCGTTTTATCTTTTACTTTGGTGTCATGGTTTGGGAATCGCCGAAAACTAACCTTTTTGAAAATGCTGAGGAGGCCATTTTTTATGTTAAAATTCGGCTGTTCTGTGTTAGTGTAGATTGGGTAAAACGGAGACATCTGAAATTGTCAATATGTCATCAGTAGGGTTGTAACGGTATGAATTTTTCACGGTATGATAATCGTCTAAAACAATACCACGGTTTGACGGTTTCGCGGTATACGGTATGTTACAAAATAATAGAACAGTGAAGCAAATTTGACTTTTTCCAAATAATATATTTTTAGTTACTATAAACAACACCACTTACAATGAACAAATAAAAATAAGAAAATAATAAATAATGTGTCAAAGTTCAAATAAAGTCCAAATAAACATGGTGCAAATCCTCAGTAAAAAATAGATATAAATATTTACTATACTATAAATATTTACATAACGAAACTAGATTCAATATGGAACATCCCTAGGTTTTATGTGCCAGCAAGGATATGGTTGTCTATGGATATGTATATGGTTGTCTGCAATGCAGACAAACAGCTGCATCTTCATTTGCGTCTTTTGAAAACAGCAAGAGCAGCAGTTCGTCTTTGCTGTGTCACTGTTTTGTCATGTTTCTGTGCTGCTGTGCATGCAAAAGTACTTAGTATGAGAATTATTTCATGCAAAACTTTTTTTTTTGCGTTTTATTTAGCCGCGCATAAATGTATGCCTATCTCTCATTCCGTGTTGTTCAAAAAGCTTGGTCCACAAACAAAAGCGAAACCTATGCTTATTGGTTGTGATATAGTGAGTTTGAACCAATCTGGGCATGGAGGAGGGATAATGCATCAATGTATCATGTCTGATTTGTCCGGAGACACAGTGACGAGCGTTTCTTTGTCAAATCAGCGTTGTCAAATGTTGATGACGTAACCGCACTGATTCCAGAGCCTCTGAAAGTCCGCGAATGTTATGTGATACAGCACTGGAAAGCTGAGATTCTCTTCTTTATGCCAATCTTTGAATTGTATGAATCGGATCAGCGGATCAAAAGTTATTAAACATTTAAGAGCAATACTTATTTTTAGCCGCGGGCGGCTGTCTCGGTCTTTAAGGGTTAAAACCGTTGATATGCAATTGTTCATGGTATGATAATCGTGCACGTTCAAATCGTGGTAAACCGTCATACCGGTATATTGTTACAACCCTAGTCATCAGATATAGACAACAAGATGAATTAAATATCACCTTTAACAAGTATAGTAAGATTAGATCTAGCAGTAGATCTTTAATGAGCTGTCCGACATGCACAGCTCTAATCGCTGGAGCGCATGATAGAGTGTGTGCGTGGTCACTTGATGTGTTTTCATTCTAAAATGTCATTTTAAAATTAAAATGTATTAGTGTTATATCTTACATTTTATAAATTGGGTGGATGTTGTGGACACTTGAAGAGATTATTTATTTATTTATTTTATTATATATATATATATATATATATATATATATATATATATATATATATATATATATATATATATATATATATATATTTTTTTTTTTTTTTTTTTTTTTTTTTTTTGAAGAAAGTGTTTTGTATGTCTGTTTTATGTCTCTTTAGAGTTCATACTTAGATAATGCTCGACTATGATAGCAGGTTTGGCATGCTGTCCCAGGAGGGAACCCTGAGCTCGGAGATAGATGAGCCCAAGGATCCCACCTGGTCATGAGCATTAGGAGAAATATGAAATCAGGTATTTCTTCAGAGCCCCCCAGTATTTTTTTTCCTATACTTTGGTTAATATGGTAGTTCTAATTGATTCAGTATGTATGTGTTAAGTGCTTGTGATTGTTATTACAATTCGTTTATGTACATGTTTTTAGACTGTGGGTGGAAACCGCCCGGAGTACCTGGGGAAAACCCACGTAAACATGGGGCGAACATGCAAGCTCTTCGCAGAGAGTACTGACTGGCGCAATAAGAACTTGAACCATTGGCCCTCCCGCTGTGAGGCAGCAGCGCCAGCCACTGAGCGGAGCGGCCGTGTTGCTCGATCATAGAATTGAGGAGGAGGGAGAAAGAAAGGATGGGGTGGGGGGGAGTTGGGGCAGGATATTTAAAGTAATTTTAGAATGATCCGATACGCTAGCTAATAATTAGCAATAAGGACTCACTTATGTTTATTTGTTGTTGTCACGATGTGAGTTTTTTGTGTGGCACTGTTATGAAATGTGGTCTCTTGACTGCAAACTAAATCTATTAAATTGCATTACAAAAAATACATTTATGATGTTTAAGAGGCAATCAAAAAATAAAACAAATAAATAAAAAAACTAATGTCAGTTACTGGACTAACAGTCTTTTACTTTACTCATTTGGCATATGCAGTTTAAAAATAAATAAATAAAGAATTTAATGAATTGTACAGCCCTACTTTTGACGTATTTAAAGCTTATGCATCATAAAAAAACTATTTTAAAAATCCCTTTTTTTTAAGATTGAGCCCCTTGTAGTGTGTTGTCTGTACTTTGGATTACACTTCTAATTTAAATGTATTATTTATTTACTTATTTTTCTTCCTGTTATTTGGACTTTTTGGAGTTGTATTAAGATGTGTCCTTCAATCTTTACTATGTATTTTGTATGTTCTTATTCAAGCATTAATAAAAAAAATAAAAAAATAAATTGCAACTTATTAAATATAAATGTTCCAATTTCCAGAACACTCTGTGACATCCAGTTAAATTCATTTTGATGCCTTCATTCCGCAAGTCCATCCACATCTTCAAAATCATAAATTGAGTCCTATTCAGGGACACCATCAACCAGGGCTGCATTTCAGAACTACGTCTTGATAATGACATGCATAGTTATTCCCTATTAAGCATTTGAACACTAAATCTCCATACCAGCTTTAACACTCTTTGCTCTTTGAAACATATTCTGAAATGGTGTGGATATCCAATGCACTTTCAAGTGAAGATGTACTGGTGCATGGCTGGGGGTTTTGGAGCATGTCAGCCGAGCTTTATTCTCTCAATGAGAGCCCGATCTATCATATAGGCCAGCTCAGAGTGTAACAAAAAAGCAGTATTATACAGAGAACTCTTAAGGCAAAAGAGGAAGAAGCGGAAGTCTGGAAGATGAGAGGATCACGCTTGGGCCACAGGGAGTTTCAGAGCTGGGTTTCTCGGTCTGCGAAGACTCTGACCCCTCGCAGTGAAATGAGATACAACCACCTACGATGCAGAACCGCAAATGTGTGGTCCTGGGGGTGCTGTTACAGTGCTCGGCATTCCAGCAGCTATCGGAAACATAAAAAGCGTCGGTCATAAAGGCTGTGTGTGTGCGCATGAAACCGGAGTTGTTTAAGTCGATGTGTGAAGCTTTATGCATATAATATCAACCAACTCCTGCCAAGCTCCACCGGGAAACCATATGAGCATGTCATGGCACTGAAAAAGCTTCTTGACCACATCTGGAGATCTATGGCAAAGTCAGAGACTTTGGATACTGAAACATATAGTGCCAATGTGATTGATTTAGAATGCAGATTTCTGTGCCTTATTTTGGTGCCATTTCAATTCCTGGGCTGTTGGGGTTTTAAAATACGCTTATATATAAAGTATGAACAAATCACATAACCATTAGATAATTTGTAAATTATTAATTATTATTAAACCTGTTTGATGTACACTCCCAGATATAAAGCTACATGAGCTGTGATTGTGCCTTTTCAAAAGGTATATGTTTGTACCTGAAATAGTCTATATTGGTACCTTAAAAAAGTTACCTTAAGTTTACCTATTAGTAATTACAGCCTTAAGTCTTTTTGAATTTGATGCCACAAGCTTGGCAAACCTGTCTTTGGGAATTTTTGTCCATTCATGTTTGCAGTACCTCTCAAGCTATATCAGGTTGGACAAGAAGTGACGGTGTACAGCCAAATTTTAGATCTCTCCAAAAATGTTCAATAAGATTTGGGTCTAGGCTCTGGCTGGGCCACTCAAGGACATTCACTGAGTTGTTGTGAAGCCACTCCATTGATATTTTGGTGGTGTGCTTTGGGTCATTGTCCTGCTTGAAGATGAACCGCCAGCCCAGTCTGAGGTCAAGAGCACTCTGAAGCAGGTTTTCATTCAGGATGTCTCTGCACATTGCTGCATTCATCTTTCCCTCTATCCTGACTAGTCTTTTAGTTCATGGTGCCGAAAAACATCCCCAAAGCATGATGCTGCCACCACCATGCCAAAAGAGTTCAATTTTAGTCTCATCAGACCAGAGAATTTTGTTTCCTATGTTCTGAGAGTCTTTCAGATGCCTTTTGGCAAATTTCAGGCGGGGAGTGGCTTCTGTCTGGCCACTCTACCATACAGGCCTGATTGCACAGATGGTTGTCCTTCTGTAAGATTCTCTTCTCACCAGAACAGAAGGCTGGAGCTCAGACAGAGTGACCATTGAGTTATTGATCACCTCCCTGACTAAGGCCCTTCTCTCCCGATCACTCAGCTTAGATGGCCGGCCAGCTCTTGGAAGAGTCCTGGTTTCAAACATCTTCCACTTAATGATGATGAAGGCCACTGTGCTCACTGAAACTTTCAGAGCAGCAGAAACTTTTCTGTAACCTTCCCCAGCCTTGTGCCTCAGGACAATCCTGTTTCTGAGGTCTACAAGCAATTCCTTTTTCCTCATGCTTGGTTTGTGCTATGACATGCACTGTCAACCCTGGGACCTTAT